CCTCCTGACATTCCCAACACAACCTGGAGACTGAAGGGTAAAATTTCTTCAGCAGCACTGGGACCCTATACCACCTGGACAGGAGGATTTGTGCGCTAATTGAATGATTCGCTTCACTTGTTCTCCTGAAAAGGACACCAGCAAATCAGCTTACCATTTGCGCATGTAAGGAGGGATGAAAGTCTCCTTTGGCACGTTTAACATTTTTTTACAAAAGTGCTCAAAGGGGGTGAGTGATCTGGCGTACTTGACCGAGTCTGGAATAGATTGAATAAACTGACGCAGCTGATAAGCTGACCAGGAACTTAAAGGGAGTTGTACTAGACTGCTAATTGTCTGAAGGGGCATCTACCCCTGCCAAGTCGTAAAATGCCTACACTGTGTGAAACCAGCCTCCTCCAGGCCACACAGTTGGTCCCTCGACGAGCAGAATGGATCAGATCGATAACTTTCATTGTGTTATCTCTTGCCTCTCTCTGGGGGACGAATCCCACCTGGTCAGCATGGATAAGCTCAGGAATGTAAGGGAGCAGTGTATTTGCTATGATCTTCGAAAACAATTTTAGGTCGACGTTAAGAAGGGCAATGGGTCTGTTGTTGCTACATAAGGTGTGATCCTTATCCGGTTTCGGAAGAATAGTGATATGTGCCCTCATTATGTCTGGCAGGGGGAGATGACCATCTGAAAGTGAGTTGTACACCCTTAGGAAGTAAGGAGAGAGGGACTCTCTGAAAGCTTTATAATAGTTTAGAGTTAGGCCATCCAGGCCAGTGGCTTAATTCGCTTTGGTGGAGGCTATAGCAATGTCTAACTCCTCTGTGGTAATTGGACTCTCCATCTCTTCGCAAATTCGCGGGGGGTAGGGATGGCATGCCAGAGGTTGCCGATAAAGAGGTTATTAGTTCTTGTCCCTGAGGAAGGAGCTGGGGAGTGTGATCGTTCAAGTTATAGAGATTATGATAGAATCGCTGAAACGTCTTGGCGATTGTGGAGGAATCTGTAGCCTTGGTCCCAGTATGGGTGGTGATCTGAGTTACCATGGGTTTCAACTGAGTGCTCCAAAGGGTGTTCACTAAAAGGCTTACTAGCGAATTCATAAAATGACCATCGGCATCTACAAATTTTATCTTGTATGGTCACCTGTACTAACTATCTTAGTTGTTCTCTCAACTGCAGAATCTCCTTTTGCGTAGTCAAGGCTAGGGATTTTTTATGAACAACCTCCAATTGCCTAATGCGTACAAACAGTGTGGTCGTCTGCATTGTCCTCTCCTTCTTTAGTCTAGCTCCATGCTTAATAAAGAACCCCCGCATTGTACACTTGTGAGCTTCCCAAAGGGTCAAGGATCCCGTCTAAGGTACATCATTTGTTTGAAAATAAGATGTAAGCGCCTGTGATTCTTTTGCCATGGTAGTAGGGTCCTTTAGTAATGCCTCATTTAGTCTCCAGGAGGAGAGTTGGGTATAGTAAGTGAACAGTCTAGCTCCATATGTATGGGGGCATGGTCAGAGAGAATTATTGGGTGGATAGAAGTGTTGCATACTCTGGCTTGTTTTCCAGGCAGGAGAAAAAAGGAGTTTAGGCATGAATAGGTTTAATGGACGGGACAAAAAAAAGTATAGTCTCGGTTGTTTGGATGGCCTAGGCACCATGTGGTTTAATTTACTAAAGCTGGAGAGTCCACTAGATTCAGGAGGTGGAGTTCAGAAGGAGTCTGACTTTAGCCTTTTTTCAATAGGAGTAAGAGAGAGGGAAGACCCTTTAGACATGTCCAATAGGGGGTCATATGCGAAGTTAAAGTCTCCCCCCACTATCAATACCCTTTACTATGTTCCAGAATACGTGGTAGCATTCTTTTTAGGAATAAGAGATGGCCAGTGTTAGAGAAGTATATGTTCACCTTAGTCGTCCCTATTGTACCTTTGACTATGAGGTATCTGCTGTCATTGTCTGCTACTAATGCTCCCAAAGTCCATGCAAGGGATCAGGCTAACAAAATACTCATTCCCTTAGCCTTGGGTATAGAGGAAGTGCTGAGATATGCCACAGGATACTTATGGTTAAACAGCTTGGGCAACTTCTCCCAGTGAAAATTAGTCTCCTGTAAAAAGACCACCTGGCTCTGCATCTTAGCCAAGTCACATAACAATCTTGTTCTCTTTTCAGGTGCGTTCAAGCCTCTGAAGTTGTATGAGGTGAACTTGATGAGGTATTGCCGTGGTTTCCCCCCTCCGTCCATCTCTCCCAGTCTCATCTCAAAAAAAAAGGGGGGGGGTGCAGAAAAGAAGAGGAGGAGGGGAAAGAGTAAAATAAAAAAGGGTGGGGGGCTCGCTGAAGTAAAAATGCTAACAGGCAAATACTGAATGCCTGCTTGCCTCAGCATCTACAATATGTAGGTATAAGCTCCCTATCTAACCCATGGGATCGGGAGGGTCCTTCGGGGGAGGAGGGGTAGAACTATGCACTGGCACCAGAAAAGTATAAAGAAAAAGAAACACGTATCGTAAATGCCAAGCCCCCCCCACAGACTACTCAAGGGCAGCCTAGTAATACTACTTTACAGAACAACACACAACAATATAACCAGTAAATAATGAACTAGCAACCCTATCCTCTCCAGAAAGAAGCAGCTGTCATTAAGGCATGGGAGGACAGCCATCCTTGGGGACACCGCCACTCCCCACTCCCACCCAAGCAGAATCCCACCGTAATCCTTCATTACTAGTCACCCCATTGCATGATATGTAGCAGCACTGACGCTACTTACGTACCCCACGTAGAACTGTAAGAGGGTTCCTATGTGTATAGCATATTCAGATTAATTAGGCCCCCCTATCCCCACCAGTGTCCATCCCATAATAGCAGTTAAATCAGGGACCCTCGCACGGGGAAATATATGTGGGCTGCAGGAACCCTCTAAATCTGTTATCCTACATCTGACATGTTGGACATCTGGGTGAAACATATAACAAAATAGCCTAAAGCAGCCCAAACCCCCCGTATGATGCCAAACCCGATCCTTGACTCACAAGAGCTAGTAGTAGCTGTCTTCCTCTGTGGTTTCTGTGTTCAGAGCTTTGGTTCCACAGGCATCGGAGACTAACAACAGGTGGAGACATTTCTTGATCTTGCACGGGACCATTGCGCACCCGAGACGGGTGAGGAGTCATATTGGTGGCAGCACAGCCATTGTCAGGCCACTCCAGCCAGTCTGGAACTTCCAATGGGGCAGCTTCCAGAAATTGAAAAAGATCTGGCAGCTGGGAAGGGGTATGCAAAGTGAAGAACCGTTTTGCTTGCTGATAAGAATATGAAAGGGGTATCCCCATCTGTAATTAGCCCCTGCAGTTTGTATCATCTCCAACAGAGGGCGCATCATGCCCAGCATTTGCTTGGTATGTCGAGAAAGGTCCTGATCAATCTGGATATGTGCCACATCAAAGTCCAACGGGCCATTCTGCCAAGCCTTACGGAGAATATCTTCTTTAACGATGTAAAAGTGGACTCAACTTAAAACGTCCCTAGGAGAATCTGGGCCTCCAGATCTGGGCAAAGGAAGGTACTCCATATAACTCCAGCTCTGTATCTGGGGCTTTGCCCAGAATGGTATTACAAATAGCCTGGACCGTGGTTCTAAGAATAACATCAGCACCAGACGTGGATTCAGGAATTCCCTTTAAGCACAGATTATTTCACCAGCTGTGATTCTCGGCGTCCTCCAGGCAGAGGAGAATGCTGGTGAAGCGTCTGCGGGAGGAGGCACAATATTCCTCCAGTGTAGTCAGGCGAGAGTTAACCAAGTCCCTTGCTTCCTCCAGGGAGTCAACCCTGGCATCCACCTGAGATATCTCCTGCCTGACCTCTGCTATCTTCTTTTGTGGCAGTACTCTCTCCTTTAGATTCAAAACTTCATGCATGTGCTCTCTCTTATCTGTCATAGTAGCTCTGGGCTCAGCACCATGGCAAAGGGGTAAATAGGGTTCTGTGCATGCACAGTGTTGGAATTCAAGAGAGAATCTGCACTTGTGATGGCAGAGGCAGGCATTAACGGCTGGAACATCATAGCAATAGGGCAGAATGAGAGAATTCCCACTATGGGAGTTTTTTTAGTAGGCTTTCAGAAGGGCAAAAATGGCCTATATAATAAATAATTAGTGCATACCTTTTACTCAGACTACCAAAGGATACTGCAGTGAGCACTAATAGGTAAAACCATAAACATTTCATGCTACATATTTCTGTACCATGGATTGAATGAACAGTCATGTTTACATACCTGCCTTTACACGCACATGAACTTTAAGGCTTTCCAGTCTTAGTTTGTAGGGTTCAATATTGAGTTGGCCCACCTTTTGCAGCTATAACAGTTTCAACTCTTCTGGGAAGGGTGTCCACAAGGTTTAGGAGTGTGTCTATGGGAATGTTTGACCATTCTTTCAGAAGCGCATTTGTGAGGTCAGGCACTGATGTCGGACGAGGTGGCCTGGATCACAGTCTCCGCTCTAATTCATCCCAAAGGTGTCCTATCGGGTTGAGGTCAGGACTCTGTGCAGGTCAGTCGAATTCCTCCACCCCAAACTCGCTCATCCATGTCTTTATGGACCTTGCTTTCTGCACTAGTGCACAGTCATGTTTAAACAGGAAGGAGCCATCCTCAAACTGTTCCCACAAAGTTGAGAGCATGAAATTGTCCAAAATGTCTTGGTATGCTGGCACCTTAACAGTTCCCTTCACTGGAACTAAGTGGCCAAGCTCAACACCTAAAAAACAACCCTGCACAATAATCCCCCCTCCACCAAACTTTACACTTGGCACAATGCAGTCAGGCAAGTACTGTTCTCCTGGCAACCGCCAAACCCAGACACATCCATCAGATTGCCAGGCAGAGAAGCATGATTCATCACTCCAAAGAACTTGTCTCCACTGCTCTAGAGTCCAGTGGCATCATGCTTTGCACAACTGCATCCGACACTTTGCATTGCACTTGCTGATGTAAGGCTTGCATGTAGTTACTCGGCCATGGAAACCCATTCCATGAACCTCTCTATGTACTGTTGTTGTGCTAATCTGAAGGTCACCCAAAATTTGGAGGTCTTTAGCTATTGACTCTGCGGACAGTTGGCGATCTCTATGCACTGTGCGCTTCAGCATGTGCTGACCCCGCTCTGTCATTTAACTTGGCCTACCACTACATGGCTGAGTTGCTGTTGTTCTCAGTTGCTTCCACTTTGTTATAATACCACAAACAGTTGACCTTGGAATATTTATCAGCAAGGAAATTTCACGGATGGACTTATTGTACAGGTGGCAACCTGTTACGGTACTACGCTTAAATTCACTGAGCTCCTGAAAGCGACCCATTCTTTCACAAATGTTTGTAGAAGCAGTCTGCATGCCTATGTGTGTCCAGGTTTCGTCACATGTAATGATGCGATCCAGAAAATCCTGGCTTTCCCTGTCATAACGCTCCTTCAATGCAGTGCAGACTTCAACTCTTCTGTCTCTGGTCAAAACAGGAAAGTTGTCTTGGTACCCAGCGTGCACTAATTTTTTGAAAATGCAAATTTTGTGAATGAATGTGTTCACCGTTCCCACAGAAGGACTTGTCTCTTGTGCAATTTCACAACAGGTTATGTGTTGATTATCCAGGATCAGGCTTTCCACTCGCTGAATGTTCACAGGAATGATTGTTGTGCGCTGGAAACCATCACGGCTGAGATCATCACATACATCATCATCATCATCTTTGACATGTTTACACCATTCAAATATCTTACTGCAGCTGAGAGCGTGATCACCGCACTGTGCTTTAAGTTTGTAGATATCTGTGGGTTTTACACCTTTATTCACAAGAAACTTGATCACCACAGACTGTTCCATGTATGCACTAACGCTGCTGTAAATAAATATATATATATATATATATATATATATATATATTGAAAACTGGTTTAGAGGCATTCCTGTGTCATGTAGAGGAGTAAGACCACTGAACCGGTTTTGGATTTATGTAGATTTCTTTGTGGATGAGCACCTGGGCATTTACTTCAAACATAGAGAGTAATGGGGCTACCCTTGGAACTGTTTATATATATATATATATATATATATATATATATATATATAAACATGCACAGTATATATAAATTTTTATATAGATTATATATATACTGTATATATATATATATATACACACTATATTGCCAAAAGTATTGAGATGCCTATCTGTACATGCACATGAATTTCAATGGCATCCCAGGCTTAGTCTGTAGGGTTCAATATTGAGTTGGCCCACCTTTTGCAGCTATAACAGCTTCAACTCTTCTGGGAAGGCTGTCCACAAAGTTTAGGAGTGTCTATGGGAATGTTTGACCATTCTTCCAGAAGTGCATTTGTGAGGTCAGGTACTGATGTCGGACAAGAAGGCCTGGCTCGCAGTCTCCGCTCTACATAATTCATCCCAAAGGTGTTCTACCGGGTTGAAGTCAGGTCAGTCAAGTTCCTCCAGCCCAAACTTACTCATCCATGTCTTTATGGACTTTGCTTTGTGCACTAGTGCACAGTCATGTTGGAACAGAAAAGGGGCCATCCCCAAACTGTTCGCACAAAGTTGGGAGCATGAAATTGTCCAAAATGCCTTGGTATGCTGATGCCTTAAGAGTTCCCTTCATTGGAACTAAGGGGCAAAGCCCAACCGCTGAAATACAACCCCACACCATAATCCCCCCTCCACCAAACTTTACACTTGGCAAAATGCAGTCAGGCAAGTACTGTTCTCCTGGCAACTGCAAAACCCAGACAAGTCTATCGAATTGCCAGACAGAGAAGCGTGATTTGTCACTCAAGAGAACACGTCTACACTGCTCTAGAGTCCAGTGGCAGCGTGCTTTACACCACTGCATCCGACACTTTGCATTGCACTTGGTGATGTAAGGCTTGAATGCAGCTGCTCGGCCATGGAAACCCATTCCATGAAGCTTTGTATGCACTTCTGTTATGCTAATCTGAAGGCCATACGAAGTTTGACTGTTGACTCTGCAGACAGTTGGAGACTTCTGTGTACTGTGCGCTTCAGCATGAGCTGACCCCACTCTGTCATTTTATGTGGCCTACCACTTCGTGGCTGAGTTGCTGCTGTTCCCAGTTGCTTCCACTTTGTTATAATATCACTAACAGTTGACCGTGGAATATTTAGTAGCAGGGAAATTTCACGGATGGACTTATTGCACAGGTGGCAACCTATCACAGTACCATGCTTTTAATTCACTGAGGTCCTGAGAATGACTTATTCTTTCACAAATGTTTATAGAAGCAGTCTGAATACCTAGGTGCTTGATTTTATACACCTGTGGCCATGGAGATGATTAGAATACCTGAATCCAATGATTTGGAGGCGTGTCCCAGTACTTTTGGCAACATAGTGTATCTATATATATCCATCTATGAAAACGTGAAAGATGTTGCAGTCTTGATACCTAATACAGTGCTTGGGTGGCAAAGCATGCGTAACCACTTTGAGAGTGCCTCTAAACCAGTTTGGGATTTACAGTATATGGATTTCATTGTGCGTGAGCACCTGGGCATATACTTCAAATATAGAGAGCCATGGCTACCTCTGGAACTATTTTATGGATATATATCTCTATCTATGAAAAACTTGAAAGACGTTGCAGTCTTGATACCTAACAATGCTTGGGTGGCAAAGCACATGTAACCACTTTGAGGCAGAAGTGAAAAAGTCTCTTCTGTTAATCTGAAGGAATTTTGGATGATTCTGTCTAGAGTAGGTTCCGCTCTCAGCCTGGGAAGTGAAGGATGCACCTTTCTGAAGACTGATATAAGACTTAGATGAATCTCCTGGGCTAATACCTGATAGAAAGACTTGTGATGCATCGCTCAAGCTGTCAACCATGATAGCTTGGATCTAGGTAGATTTATATGCAAATGAATTGCAGCTTAGGCCAATCCTCTGTGGCAATAATGAGAAATCGAACTCCTTGGGGCTCTTGCTGGGACAATCTATGTGAAGCAACATTGATGGAAAGCCTAGATTGTAGCTGGTATTGGAACTGACTGGAGTTGACAGATGTGTTCAAATCACAGCATGTGAATGGAGCCTTAGAGTTGCTAGTCACACAATCCATGAACTGATGAATATTGGTATCGTCCTGCAAATTCCTGGCAATAGTAGATTTCTGGACACCTATTAAAAGATCAGTCTTGATGCCATCATCAGTAGAAATTTGACATTTTTTTTCTACCGACATTGCTGTAATATGATTCTCTGATGTAGACTTGATTGCTCAGAGGAAGTCTAATTCTCTGAGTGGTTATCTCTTTTGACATCCCATAACTCAAGTTTTGAGAGATGAATGGGATTTCTTGAGTTCTCTCAACAATAGTTTTACGTAATAATTGAATTCTGCCTTTTACTGGAGTGAGGAGCGCCAATAACAATCCAACTTAGTTTGTCTCCTGATAAGACATATTGTGTGGAGTCACTCTGCACATGCTCATTTTGGTGTGTATTGCTATAGAGGTTTTTTTTTTTTTCTTGGACGAGTGCATGTGATCAGCACAGGGCCAATCAGCACTGTCCAGTCAGAGGTCAGGGGTCCTGCATCTTTCTAGAGCAGAAGGAAAACTCCTCCTACAAGCTTTAACATGTGCTCGGATGGACACTGATAGAAGTCACAAGACTGCTCTAACTGCTGATGAGAAAAGGTATTTAGCAGTTTATATTTACTAAAATAATTGCACTTCCATGTTCTCTGTACTGTGGGAGACCAGATATAGTGAACGTTATGAAGATCACCTATGCGCTGTTCTTGTACTTTGTGGATTCTTGAAATGTCTCCTCCTGGCAGAAGCATGATTTTGGAATTATCTTTCAATGGTGGTGTGTAGACTTGTCCTGAACTTTGTCCTCTATAGTTTCGTATTTGATTGCTCTTGATACATTTAAGAAGTTGAATTCCTTTAGTTCCTGTCATATTTGAAATAATTACTTATCCAGTATGGGCAAATCTGGTTTCTACTGTGCTAGCATATGTGTGCACAGTGTAGGGCAGGGGTGTCAAACTCAGTTTCATTGTGGGCCGCATCAACATTATGGTTGCCCTCAAAGGGCTGGTTGTATGTATAAGACTAGATGTCCAGAGGCTAGATGCTTATGGCTCTTCCTGTCATGAACTGAGACAGGTACAAGATCTTTGGCGGATGTAGAGTTTTGTTTAAAGGTGTTTTGGTGTATAGCTGATACATGCCTTTTGCTGTTGCATTCTAAGCACATAACTGTAGCCTTGCAGTCTCTGGTGAAGTGCACTTTGGATCAACAGAAACAAAGTTCATGGTTCTTTGGAAACTTCTTGCATTCTCCAAAAGGTTTTCCTTTGAATGCACAACACCTTTTGAGAGAATAACTCCTGTTTTTCTAACAGACAGCATTTCTAGAGTATCTGTATTTAGTGGTCAGGTTTTATTTTATTTGAAGTTGGAGGATTAGGAATGCTCAAGTTGATAATAGAGAAGCTTAGATCATACTTAGCTCTGACTAAGTCTTTGATGAACTTTGAAAAGAACAAAAATAGCAGGCTGGACACTTGATGCTACTGCTTGTACTTGGAACCAGTTGTTTCCCATTTTTCCTGATTATTGTATGATAATTTTGCTACAACCGGGTTAACAACGTGCGCAGTGTCTGCCTAGCTAAGACTTGGTAGATGTGTGTCTTGGCGATTTAAATCTCAAGATTACTTCTGGTTTGTTTTGTTGGATAGTTTTTGAAAGTTCTGCAGACTCCTAAAAAAGGCAAGCTCAATAACTTCACAGCACCTATAAATTTGCTTTAACCTCTCCCATACGAGTTTAAGGCCTTTGTCATGGATGTGAACAGTTTTAAGTACTGTGGGAACTCGCTTCAAGTGGTAGAGCTCTTCTTGTTAAACACACACAGCAACTCGCTTTCTTTTCAGGGCTTTTTTACCCACTTTTATTTAAGAAAGTTCAAGAAAACACAAATGCTTCCCACGCAGGGGTATCCACCATCAAACACAACAATATTCAGCCTCCTGGCTTGCACGCAGTTTTAAGTCTGCCTCCTGCAGACTCTTCCCAAAGTATGGCACTAGCACACAGCTAGTCCGGCTTCCACCTGACTCCACGGCAGAGACCTCCTGCCTGCCGGGGTGGAATCCTCCTGACTCCGTTTGCCGGGGTGGAGCCCAGATTCATGGCCTGGCCTCCACAAAAAGGCCTGCACACACCTGTGCCATCAGCACGCTGGCTGCTCCCAAAATATGGGCCCAGGATTGGAGATTTCATCCCTCCCAAATCTCTTAGAAATCTCCAGGCAACAGGTCCCAAAACAGGCTTTACAAACCAAAGAGGAAACTTATAAACCCGTTTCCTCTGCATTATGAGAACTGCCTGGAGCCCCTCAACCTGCATGGTGAGAATCCTGGGTCTCCATCATGATTTCCACCGTGGCAGGATACCGTACTGCCACAGTACCTTAACACAGTCTAACAACTGAGGACCTAACCATCTGCGTGACAAATCAAGTTCTTACATAGGTGGTAAGCTGAGGTCCTTGACTACTGACTTAAAAGGTGAATCTCCAGACCAGTAGTTCTCTGGAGAATTGTAAAACTTCACGGAGCCCAGATTAATAAGTTCTTTGCAGGTCATGAACTTAGCAAGGTCCACGTTCCTTGAGGCCTTGTCATAACAGGTGTTCCTTTGTGAAGGTGTTTCTTTTTGAAGGTGGTAGAATCTAATGCCTGGTGTTTTAGGTTCTGGAAGAGAGAATGGAGTAGCAAATGGGTTCAGTTTACATGAAGGATTGGGATCTAGAGGTCTCATGGTGTGGGTCTCGAGAACAGTATGACCTATCTCAGAAAGTTTTGAGGTGAATTTGTTAGCTGGATTCAGTATAGTCTGTTTTGGCACACAACTTGCTGCATAGGCTATTAGTAATGTGGGACATAGAGAAGTGTTCAATGTGCCAGAATGATCTGTGTGTTTGGGTGCTGCAGGTTCTCTTGCTGGCGAATGTACTGTGGGTTGACATTGTCCTGACTTAGAATGAATTACAGGGTTCATCTTGTAGGGTCCTCAGAGGTTGTCAAGTTGGGATGGATGGATGGTCTACTTCTTTCTCCACAGCTTGTTCCAGAAATATGAACTTAGCTACATCCGCCGCTTTTTTTTTTTTTTTAAGGACATTTAATGGTGCTACCACCTCTGCTTGAATCCTTGCAGCTTGTGCTTGTACTTGTGCATTATAGGGCAGTGCCTTGAGTCTGCATATGTGCCTGCTTCTTGCAGATTCGGATTTAAGAGCTCTTCTCTCTAATGCAATAGGCTTCTGTCTTTGCTGCTGCTTCTTTTGTTGAGAATCCTTTACTGGCAATGACTGCCTTAAGTACGCAATGAGGATCCCCGGGAGTAGGAGTTTAGTGATGATCGCTGGGACTAGGATTTTAGCAATCCATAAAATGCCTTAGAATTCTTTGAAGAAATAGAGTAGTAGACAACAGTTTTATTCAGTTGTGATATATTGTCATCATTAAGTGCCTTGGCCTCAAAATGTAAAATGTCTCTTCTTTATCTATAGTTGACATAGGAAAGGAATATTTTTCAGACAGTCTCTTTATAGCTTTCATAAGCTCTTTTTAGCTATGTGAGTGCATTGTATAGTTGCTTTGCATCATTATATGTTTCATCAGCAGCAATTATGCATTGCATAGTCCTATTCCACATATCAGATAAACTATTAGTCATTTCTGCCTTATGTTTCATAATTCTACTTAAACTTCAAGGAAAGCTTAACTGTGCGTCAATCTCAGCAGTGCAATTCCAACAGCAGAGATAATTCTAGAAACAATAGTCCTTGTAATTCCATGGGCAAATTCAATATTCAGAAAACTGCTGCTTCTAAATAGTGAGAGCAAACACATGAAAATGTAGTAGACTGCTTGGTTCACACCTATGCAGTTTGCTATTCATCCATTTCTGTAGTGCTTTTTGCACATGCATTTTTGACACTTTTTTATGTGGTTTGTGGTTTTTATGGGGGTTTTTTGGCCAATTTGTTATTGGTCAGTTTAAAACATGCACAAAGTGTCAAACATGTGCCAAAAATGCACTACATGCTTTTCTGCAGCATTTCCATTGAAGGCTATTGCAAAAAAAAAAACATTTTGCATTTAAAAAAAGTTCCTGACACTTTCCAAAAATGTAGAAGCTGAAAAAAAAGCATAGATGTGAACAAGTCCCATAGGAAACCATGTTAAATGGACTGTAGTGCATTTCTGCAAAAAACACCAAAAAACACAGAGGTTCGAACCAGGCCTAATCTGATCCTCAGCTGCTTCTATGTACTGTAGGTCCCTG